ACCTTTACCTTTACCTAAAATTTGTACAAACAAGCAACAAGTGATTATGTAAAATACTCTTTCGTTTAACATATTTGACTGAAAAACCACACTAGAATGTATAGTTCATCTACTGAAAACTTTGTGTGTGTTTTATCTTTAACCTTATTAGAATGAGTTCTTCCTAAAGCATGTGTTACCTTAATCATAAACTGCCAAATGTACTAGAGAGGTTTATTATATGTTCATTGGCTATCAAAGTATCCTAAGACTTTAACAGCTCAGATGCTGAGCAATGACAAAAATAGGCACCAACTTCTTTAACAATTTAAACTTGGAAATATTAACTGACATTGACAGGGCTTACAATGTACACAGCTTTAAGAATCAGGGAACAAAATGACTCATAGCCAACTTTTGTTCTAATTGAATTGCAGCTTGGACAGCCTTTGCAAGATCAGTATTTGAAATGATCAGGAACTGTTTCTAAAATCCCTATTTTGCATCATGTTGCTGAAATATTCATTTGCCTGTGTAGCTGAGGAGAGGTAGGAAAAGATGGCAGATAATGTGAAAAGCACACACATTTCTCATTCTCTACAGAGATGCAAGGAAAATGGGGAGGTAAGATTCTTTTATGACCTGACTTTGGGGGATTTTCTGTACATACTGATAGAGAATGTCACCAAAATACACCTGGCATTAAAAATGGCAAACTATAACATGTATAGCCACTAAAGGTTACATATTCTGCTTTCAACAGAAATAACTTGCATATTGAGAAACAAGACATGAAATAGCTGGCAAAAAAATCAATGTATATTTTATCTTGCTTCACTGATGTTCCATCAAATATGATCATGCTTTGTATATTGGTTTACCTAGGAACTTCTTCAAAATATACAGTGAAATAGTATATATATATATATANGAGAGAGAGAGAGAGAGAAATTGTCTGACATATAGTTTTCAACGTGCCAGCTAATAATTCAATTCATTCATTAAGCGTCTCAGGAAGTTGTAGAAACAGAGCTGTAACACAGAAAGTAGTAGTATGCTTCTTGATACAAAAGCCTTCTTTTAGTTCAGCTGTTTTATTGACAATTACGATAATCCTTAATTGCCCCTTGTTGGATCATTATGTCAAATCAATGGATAGGCTGACTCCTGCCGGCAATGAAATGGAATTATTTTCCTTTGTTTGAGCACACAATCTCTTTTAAAAGGGTAAAGGATTTAGAAAACAAAAAACTCCCATAATTCATGACAGATTTACAAATCGGTAGGTATCTTACCAAAGAGGCTTAGCCCAGGAGTGATACAAGCATCACGATTCCCATAAACTGGACGAAGAGGATCAGAGGTGTCAGAAAAGACCATACAGGCCATAAGGAAATATTAAAACTAAAAAAAGAAGACAGACATACATAGTGAGTTCCAACTCATTAAATACATTCATGTTTAAAAGAGCTACTATATGTGTTGGACTAGGACTCCGAGAGAACAGGATTTGAAATCGTATTCGACACTGGAAATTCACTGGGTAACCGTAAGCAATGGCAAACCCCTTTGACCCAATTTTGCCAAGAAATCTATTAGAAGATAATTACAAATTAAAAAGGCACACAACAACAACATCAGTAATGGAATTGGTTGAAATGATTTGAAGTTATTGAAAACAACAGCCGGGGGGTTGTGAGTGAGTGGATGCTGTCTCACGTAGCATTTGAGTGCTGTGCCAGCACTCAAATGTGCTAAACAGCCACTTTATGTAAACAAAACAATGCTGTTTTAAATTGTTGAGTTAACATGCAAACTGTGTTTTATAAACATTTCAAGATCACAAATTATTTCACACATTTTACCAATAACATTTTGACAGGCTTAAAAAAACTGACAAACCCAATCATTTGAATGATTGATTCTGGAGCAACAAACTTACCAAACTGCTGCAGCAATAAAGCACGCAGTTGTGATTGGTATTAGTGCAGGGTAGCTAGTATCGTAATCCTCAATTCCATGATACCATTCAAGATATACAATGCAATAAAAGGCCACAGACAAGCTGACAACCAATAAACAGCTGCCAAGC